GTACATGTTGTTCTGAGTGCCCCAGATGGAGCAGAGGACACAGTCCTTGTCCTTGAGGCCTCCCTCTTCCTCCTGCTACACATTAGGTTCCTTCCAGTATCTTCCTATTATATACACTGTGTCAGGACCATCTCCTGCTTGTATCTGTTCTTGTTTGCAGGCAGAGTTTCTTTATGGAGCCTGGCAGGTCTGGAACTCACTGTGTAAACCAGGCTGGTTTGTACATCTATCATGCATGTGAAAACACTGCAATTGGGTGATGTATGAAAAGGAATTGTGATCCTTTCTTTTTTGCTTTGAGAGAGGGTCTTCCTGTAGCCCCAGCTGGCCTGGAAATCACTATGTAGACCAGGCTGGCCTTGAACTCAGAGATCTGCCTGCCTCTGCCTCCCAAGTGTTAGAATTAAAGGTGTGCAGCATCATACTTGGTCAAAATGACATTTTTGGAGTGCTTATCACGTGCAGGCCTTTAACTGGATAAGGGGACCCTGTGGATGAAGTGTCTGACCTTGTGCGGCCTTGCTGTTAATGGGACTGAAAGCTAAGTCCCAGAGAAGGTAAGGATTCTCGGAGGTGCTCTTGCTTCCTCTGGCTGTCATTTGGAGACTGTGGTCACATTAAATTCCTTCATTCCCTTCTATTCTTTTCCCATGCCAGATCCTATGCTTTATTTCTCGACTTCAAGAACCTTGCCAGGTATGGTGGTTCCATGTCTTTAATCTCTGCACTTGGGAGGCAGAGGCTGGTGGACTTCGTGAGGAAGTCAAAGGATGACTTTCAGGAGTCAGTTCTCTTTTCCCATAGAGGGTACAAAGATCAAACTCCGGCTGTCAGGCTTGCATGTAGCAAGCACTTTTAGCCACCAAGCGATCTTGCCAACCCAACTTTGGGTAACTATTATCATAGCTTTGGAAGTGTTACCAGTGTTTCTCGTGAAAGGTGTTCCCCTTTCTCTTCCTATCACTTTGGCTCTGCCTACAGGACTAGCTGAAACAGCCTCCATCTGTGCCTCTGGCCTAGAACTTTCTACATACTTCAGAATGACCTCCAACTTGCAGCAATTCTGCCCCTGCTTTCCGGGCTGTGATTACAGACACGTGTCACATATTTTGCTTCCCTTTGGGTTTACAGTAAAATCTAAATTCTTAGATTTTTAAATTCATGTGGTCAGGCCCTACCTATCTCACTCTCCTCCCCTTTTTTCATCTTTTTGAGACAGGGTCTTTCTGAAGCCCCAGATGGCCTGGAACTTCCTATGGAGACCTGGCCTCGATCTCACAGAGAGATCTGCTTACTGGGATTAAAGGCGTGCGCCACCACACCCGGCATCAACCATCTTTTTGGCCCCTCTACTTCTTCCACTCCAGTCACCTGGAATCTCCCAAATATGCCAACTTATGCCTCTGCCCTCAAGGTTTCCTGTGCCTAGGTTCCCTGAACTAGTGAAGTCTTGGCAGAGGTGATTCTGCCAAGAGGCATCCCTTGGGGACTCCATCTGAATCCAGAACCCTGGCCCAGGCAATCTCCATCACAGTGACCTAGACCTTTTTCTCTAAACCTCTTTTCTGAAAAGGTCTTGCTCAGCATCAGATCCCTTAGGTGCCTGATGAGGGCCTCAGTGAGGTAGGACGGGCCATGCTTGGGAATCTGGGAGTCAAAGGAATACAGAGCAAAGCTAGAGAGCCTCACTGACCACCTGCTCAGATCCCCTTTCCTCTCCAGCCCCAATTCTTTCATAGCTCAACTTTGTGAAATGCTCACAACATTCTAGAAAAGTTGCAAGTAAAGAAATGGTGGTTCAGAGGTGGCAGTTTAAGGTGTTTCCTTTGAGATTTCTTTCCTCCCTTTCCCACTTTCTTTTTGAGATAGTGTTGACCTTGTTGGGATCCTCCTGCCTCAGTCTCCCAAGTGTAGGGATTACAGGCATGTGCCACCATGCTCAACTTGTAACTGTCCTGACAGGAGTGAAAATATTCTATACCTATATAAGCCTCTCACCCCTATTCAAATCTGAATCTCATGTCAGCAGCCTGATGATGGACTTGGGGGGGCTTGCTGGACTTCACTATTGCTCCTCTTCAATGTGGTCGCACCGAAGAACCCTCCTTTCTCTGCTCGTCACTGTTGTCTTTTTAGTTGGCATACTGAGGACAGGCAGCCTAGTCTTGTCAGGACCCAAGCTTTAACTCTAAAAACTCCCAATAGCAGGTTCTTCAAGTGTCTTTTCTATACATGCGAAACTTTACCCAAAGTTTGTAAGACACAAGTAGCCAATAGTGTGTTGGGCAGATTTTAAACTCGGTTCTGTAAGCTGTAAGGCAAGTGGTCCTGTTCTCACTATACCATACAGTACCAAACTGCCATTTGTAGATCCTATGCCAAAATGCCACAAACCTGAGACCCTATTCCAATATACCGGCAGAGCTAGTTTTTTGTTTTGTTTTGTTTTTTTAGCATTGCAAGTTCTAGGCAGGGAACTAGAAAAAGGTCAGAACAGGGCAAATTTCAAATGTTCATATGACAGTCCATTGGAATTTCTTGACAAGAGCGTCCAAAAGCATCCTCTATTGGGTTCCTCCTCATTTTTCTTTGTCTGCCAAGGCTGGACTCAAGAGTGATGGATTTAGGATTTGCTTTCAGGCACTTTGATAACTGTTGGAGTGGTTAGAATCAGTGTCAGTTCCCTCTCAAAAGCTTCTAGATGGGGGAGAAAACAAATTTAGCCATCATTTTAGAAAAATAGTGGGTTGACTCCCTTAGCTACAGGTGGGCACTACAGTACAGAAGCTAGTATTCTGACTTGAGGTTGTCTCACCTCAAATCTAGCATCCTTCCTTTCCTGGTATCACACTTTCTTATTTCTATTTAAAATTTTTTTCGATTTATTTATTTATCTTTTTGAGACAGGGTCTCCCTGTAGCCCCAGCTGGCCTGGAACTCGCTATATAGACCAGGCTGGCCTTGAACTCACAGAGATCTGCCTGCCTCTGCCTCCCGAGTGCTGGGATTAAAGGCATGCACCACCATGATTGGCAAGTACCACACTTTCTGAACTATCTGGGAAGTTAGGGAAGGAACATTTCCTGGGTTCCCAGCCTTTGAATGGAGCCAAGTCTGACAGCAAGGCCCACTCTACTTCCTGTTGGAGTGGCCTGAGAGAACAAGACCTTCAGACATCCTTGGTGACTCTTCTGAAATCCCATCAGGGGCTCAGGTAGCTACAGGCTTTTCCCTTGTGGAACAGGCCCAGTCAGGAGAAGATTAATGGCAGCCCTTGTGCTATGTAGGCAGTAGGGCTTAGTCCTCTGAGCCTGGGGGCCAAAGTCAAGACTCCAGTCCTCTAGGCCAAGGAATTTAAACCCTCTAGGCCAAGTCTGACTTAGCACAAGCCTGTAATCACAGGGCTCAGGAGGTGAAGGTGGTAGGATTAGGAGTTCAGGATCATCCTTGGCTACATAGCCAGTTTGAGGCTGACCTGGGCTAGAGACACAGGGACACTGTGTCTCAAAAAAAACCCAAAAGCTATGATAATAGTTACCTAAAGTTGGGCTGGCAAGATGGCTCAGCAGGTAAAGGTGTTTGCTGCCAAGTCTGACTACCAGAGTTCAATCCCCAGGACCCACTTGGTAGAAAGAGAACTGATTCTCACAAGTAGCCCCTGACCTCCACATTTGCACAGTAGTGCATGCACCCACCTACATAAATAAGTATAATTTTTTTTAAAAAACCAAAGGCTTTAGGCCTCTACTTTCCCACCCGTAGAAGGAGCTACCTGGTAACAACAGAGACTACTAGTATGCCTTTTCCCCAGTCTGGCTGTGCTTTCTACATTATGGAACCTCACATAAGAGAAACACTGATTGCTACCCATGCTCCTGGGAAGCAGGCTCAGAAAAGGATTCACATGTCCAGACACATACCCTCCAGTCCAGCAGCGAATCTGCATCTTGAATACCAAGCAGCCCCGCTCTCTTGCTCTCTTACCCTCCCTATGCTGAGGTCCTGCAGGCCTCATTTCTTGCCTAGATCAAAAGTGGAACCTTCATTCACCCATTTTCCACCTTCTTCCTCAATACTGCCTGTACCCAGAACTTCTTGCTGCGAAAAGCAAGTCTAGCTGCTATTCTCTAGCCCAAGACTCTGCCAGATATTCCATAGGTCTTTCTAGTTAGATCTCTAGCCTCCCTCTCAAATCATCACAATGTAACCCAACAGAGAGGCTCCAAACTTTCTTTCAAGTTCTTCCTCTGACCTCCCCTAGCTCCCCATGTCTCCCACTCTTGGAGGGGTGGGAGGCGGCTTCCCACCGGGTGTCTGCCTGGTTCAGAGGGGGAGACTGGATGAAAGAATTAGAAAATACGGACAGCTTGGGGAGTACGAGGCTCCCAATGTACCCTCTGCTTCCAGAGCAGTTGATCAAGACACAACTATCCGAGAAACTGAAGAACAAAAGACTTGGATAACAGTCAGGGTCACAAAGCTGCCAAGGGCTCCTCACCCTCGGCGACTCTTAGGTAGACGCTGGTCAGACTGCAAGGAGAGAAAAGACCTGCTTGAGGTCTCCGGCCACCTCTCTGGGTGTCGTTTTCCGGAGACATTGCGGGGTTCACTACCTTCCCAGCCTCCTTCATGGCTCACCCAGCTCAAAGCTCAGCGCCCCGGGAAGGCCGTTCCAGCCAGAGTTTGCAGATTGTTTCTCCTTTTCTGCTCCAGCTCAGCTCGGGTCCCTGCCAGCATGGGCCCCCCACCCCGTCACCTCCCACCGCCTCAGCCGGGGGTGGGCGCCCCCACCTCAGTACCCTGGCGCTTCCCAAGGAGGCGGGCCCAGCCGCACGAGCGCGCCAATCCGAACGCTCCGAGCCGCCTCTGCCTCCGCGGGTCCCACCCCAGGCCGCCATCCACCAATAAGAGCCCGCGCCCGCTCCGCAAGGCCGCCCAATCATAGGCGAGCTTTGGGCTCAGCGGTCCCGCCCCTGCCGCGCTCGGCCGCGGCTTCGCGGGCGGTAGCGCTAGGGCCTCGGCATTCTCCGAGCGGCGCCGAGCTGCTTCGGGTTCAGCCGGCCGCGTCCCAGGGTTTCGAGTGGCGGCGCCGCGGTGCTGAACGAGAGGCTGCGGGCGAGGCCGAAGCCACCCGGCCAGGCCGGAGAGCGCCTCAGTTTCTGTCAGGGCCCGCGCGGCGCGGGTTGCAGAACCGAGGAGGGGGCGGCGCTGCCTCCGTGGCTTGCCGCGACGAGGCTGGTGGAGGCCGGCGGCTGCAGGTTCCCGGCTGGCGCGGAGCGCCCCCCCGCAGAGCCCCGGCCTCCCCTGAGGCGCCTCCCGCCTCCCGCGGCCTCACCTGCGCAGGCCGCTGGGCGCCAGGTGCGGGGGTGTGTGCGCCGCTGGGGCGCCTCCCCCGGCCGCCAGCGGGGCGGAGGCGGGGCCGCAGCGGGGCCTCCGGAGCCTCGGCGTCCGTGCTCACTCTCACCGGTCCGCCCGGCCCCGCGGCGTGAGCTCCTGGGGTCCCCGAGGCTCGGGATGCTGCTGCCCGCCCGCACCCTCGCTCGCGCGCCGCCGGTCTACCCTGCCCGCGCCGCCCGGGCCGTGCCCCGCGGTGTACATGCCGGTGGAGCCCTTGGCTCCGAGCCCCTCCGATCCCCGGCTCCCCGGGGGTGAAAGCAGCCGGCCGGCCAACGGGACTGGTCTCCCAGCCCTGGGGCTCCGTACTCAGATCTCGGCGTGCTCCGCCGCCTCCGCCACCATCTGGGCGGGATCCGGCTCTGGCGTTGGTGAGGAGGGGGTGTGGTGGAGGGAAAGGAATCCTGGGGGTTTCTGGTCCCCCTTTTTACTTTTTTTGGCCTTCGAGGCTTTAGACTCAGGGAACTCGCTCATGGCTTTCTTGATGAAGAAGAAGAAATTCAAATTCCAAACCACTTTCACTCTGGAGGAGCTGACTGCGGTCCCCTTCGTGAACGGGGTCCTCTTCTGCAAGGTCCGGCTGCTGGATGGCGGGGATTTTGTCAGCCTGTCCTCGAGGTAAGGAGCTGGGGCTCAGGCTCTTGCAGGGGAGAGGGCTGATGAACGAGATCTAGTCACTTGACTAGTGTGGAAGCCTTAGTTGGGACCGAGAGGGTTCCGGAGCGTTACCCGTGCAAGGGGAAGATTTGCACAAGACAGGACTGGGCTGAGCAAGCTGGCAGGGTACCCCGCACCTGTCTGCAGGTGACCAGCCAGATAGATGCCTTTTAGGGTCCTTCATGCAATCTACATGAACACTCATTCTGCAAACTTGCACGGAGAGAGCTGAATGCAATTTGCACCCCGAGGAAGTTGAGTTAGGGGTATTCCCGGCCGCCGTGCCACCAGCTGGCGGCCACTGGGGCTGTCGTCTGATTTAGAGCCTGGACCAGCCACAGGTTCTGTGGCACGCTCCTGTGGATGGGAAAGCCCATTCCTAGGCACTCTCCCTGGATCTGCTGGAGGGTGGTGGCTGGATTTGGGTTTCCCATCCCCCTCTGAGTGAGTGCTCTCCCCTGGCTGGAGCTGGGCTCCTTTGCATTGCAAATGTCTGGAGACTGCTGTCCTCGGTGAAAGAAACCCCTGAGTTTGGCTTTATGTTGCTCCGGGTCCTGGCAAGTCCAGCTGCCCAGCTTATCGCTGAATGAGACCTGAGTTCCCAGTCAGTCTGCCCTTTGCCGGCTGGACCCACCTTGGGTCACTCAGTCCTGCCTGCCTGCAGTTCCTTGGAGTCCCAACCGTTGGGGAAGGAGACTTAAGTCCTGGCTCTTTTCTGGGCTCCTCTTTCCTCTTTTGCATACTGGGCCTGATACAGCTTTCTCCATCGGAGTTGTGGAGAAGTTGGAGCAGAGAGAACTCCATGCTGGGCTTGGGCCCAGGGTCTGGGCCTGTCTGCTCCCCTCACCTAGTCCCCTCTCCTGCCTCTCCTGAGGCCTCCCGCCTCCTTGTGGGTCCAGTTAGCTGGAGCTGCCTCACTTACTGTCCTAAGATCTTGGAGGTGTGTGTTACAGTTGGGAATAAGGAGGCCCAGAAAGAAGCAACTGGGTTTCCAGAGGTCTGACAGGAGACAGTTGTCTGTAGAACTTGGACTGCTTGGAGAATGTGCTGGGAGAGGGGAGTAGTGTCATCTAATTCAGATTTTGGAATCTCCTGTGTGTACAGAGTTGGGTTCATTTTCTATGTGTTGGGCCTCCTGTTCTTCTGAGAGCTGCTTATCTAAGGAATTTGGACAAGGGCTGCCCCTTTGTGGTAGGGGTGGCTGCAATCTGCTGTCTATGAGGCCTATAATCCTACAGCTGCCCCACACAGTGGCCCAGGGTTTCAGAGGATGTGTTCAGAGATTGGACCTGCAGTCAGCCCACTTACAGGCTGAGTGACCCTGGGTAAATTACCCAACACCTTTGATCTCAAGAGCCAGCAATTGGTGCTGCGCTCCCTGTTTAACTAGTCACTCTCAACCCCTTGACTGTGCCATGGATCAGGAATAGATGTGTGGGGCCCCAAGGGATTATCACGGTCATTTTACAGAGGTGAAAAACGGAGGCTTAGAGAGTGGCCATAACTGCTACCCTATTTGCTCCCAGCCTCAGTTTCCTCTTTTGTAAAATAAGGAGGTAATGTCCTTCAGTTGTGAGGGGATTGGGTGTCTGGCCAGGGAAGTTGCTGCAGCAGTTACTGTAGCATAGGAACCCAGGTCCCAGCCAGTCCAGGTTGTAGGGGGACATCCCTATAGTCAACTGAGGGCCTCTCTGAGCTGGGAGTGGGCACAGTACCAAGGTATTTATACCAAGCCTGGGCTGAGGTTTCACTTGACCTCCCAGACCCGTAGACAGCCACTGTCACCCTACCTGTCAGTCTTTCCATTGCCCTAACTAGCCCCCAGGGAAAGTCTGGAAAGTTCCAAGTCTTAGCACACATGCTCTGGATTTTACCTGTTTTCCCTTCTTCCTTCTGGCAAGAGGCCTGGGCTTCTCTGAATCCAGCTGATCCCAAGCAGCACTTCCCAGTCCCCTTCCTGGATAGAGCTTCCAGGACTGAGGAGAAAAGATCTGACATTGAGCCCCAAGGCTAAACACTTAGTGGATGCTGGGTACCTGGGTGCTATTGAGCAGGTGTGGCTGGAGGGAGGACATTGGAACCTGAGTCACTTTAAAGCTGCTTTGGCTGCTGTGGGCTTCCTGGGTTACTATTTCCTCTACCAAGGGAGGGCCAACCCTGGTCTGTATTCTAGGAGCCCTGCCTGAACCACCCCTCCACTGCTGTGGACCCATTGTTTACAAGTAGGGGTAGAGACTGGAGTGATAGGACCTAGATAGATAATGGGCTCAGACTCAGTAGCAAATTTCCCCTCTACCCCAGGGACCTCTGAGATGGCTAAGATCTGCTGTTAACGACATGGGTGCTGTCAGACCGGCACAGCCTGAGGCCCCACCCTGGCAACACCTACCCTCCTAGCTGGTGTTTCCCTGAGTGCCATGGCAACAACTGGTACATAGCTCCACCTGACCGAATACAACAGGTAGAGCAGGTGGTTCTTAGCCTTATCTTCCAACACCTCCGTTGCAGCAGTAATCCCCATAGTTGCCAGGTTCTGAGTACCTGGACTGTGCCAGGCACCTCGCTGAGTTCTTTGCACAGGGTATCCCCATTAATCCTCCAGCCATCTGGAGAGGCACTGAGACCAGACAGTTGAAGTCACATACTGGTGGTCACCAGGTGGTAAGTGGCAATTGGGAACCAATTCTTTTCTCATCTTGGTCACCTTCAGTTGTGTACTTACTGATGCCAGGGGCTTGCTGAGCTTCTCAAATGGCAGATCATCTGCCCATTTGTGGATGAGGTCAGGAGCGATGACATGGCTGGGCCTATGTCACTCAGCTAGAGAGTAGCAGAGATAGAACTTGAATTGAAGCAGGTGCAGCTCAGAGCCCTATCTTGCCTTGGTGGCATGGGTTAGAAGCAGCTACAGACCCATGTGAAATCCTAGACCCCTGCAAGGACTCCTTTCAGTGGGTAGGCTGCTGCAGCAGATCTAGAGCTAGAGAATTGGGAGGCACTGAACTGGGTCTTGGGAAGCCCCAGGTAAAGAGTCCCCAGGACATTAAGGTGGGGGTGGGGCTGAAGTCACCTCTGGATTTGTGACCAGGCATGGGCAATCACTGGAGCACAGAGGGCATTTGCCAGGTGTCCTTGGAAGGGTACCTGGCAGGGGCCTCCAAGGAAGACGATCCAAGTGGTATCTGGGGGGAACCTTTAGGTGGGGGTGTGTCTGAGGGAGATACAGAGGTCAGGGCCAACCAAGTGTGGTGACTCAAGCAGAAGCCATCTTGCCCAAGGTGGTCTTTAGGTAGGAAGAATCCCAAACCTCCCAGAGGCTCTGCTCCTAGCTGGTGTTGATCCTTTGGCTTGTTCTGTGCATGTTGCTACCTGTGCCAGGAGAGGGGAGTGCAGGGGAAAACAGAAATGAGAGAAAGGCAATCTTAGCCAGTGGATGGAGAAACTGAGGTCTGAGGCAGAGAAGTGACTTGCCAGGGTCATTTCACAGGAGGACCAAATGGTCCAGCTGGGCAGACTATACTCTGACCCTGACTTCTGGGCCTCTGTCTCTTTTTGGCACGAGAGTGGCTGGGCCAGAAGAGGAGATAGCCCTGCAGGGACCACCGCAGGCTGACTAAAAAGCAGATTGTGACTTGGAGAGGCCCCTTCCTGTTTTTATTTTGGCAGTTTTGAATCCTCAGTCAGCTTTCAGTGGGGTTTTATTTTTTATTTATTTATTTTTTGGTCTTTTTGAGACAGGGTCTCCCTGTAACCCCAGCTGACCTGGAACTCACTACGTAGACCAGGCTGGCCTTGAACTCACAGAGATCCGCCTGCCTTTGCCTCCCGAGTGCTGGGATTAAAGGCATGCGCCACCATGCCCGGCCTATTTTTCACTTTTTAAAAATATTTATTATTTTTATTATGTGTATAAGTATATTGCCTGCATGTGTGTAAGTATAACTGTGTTGTGCCCTGTGGAGGTCAAAAGTTGGCATCAGATCCCTTGGAACTGGTGTTATAGACGGTTGTTAGCTGTCATGTGGGTGCTAGGAACCGTATCTGGGTCCTCTGCAAGAGCAGCCAGTGCTCTTAACCACTGAGCCACCTCTCTAGCCCCAATGGTGTTTTATTTTTGCAAATAAAGAGCCTGGCTGCTTACCACACAGGCATTGCCTACTTTCTACAGTTTGTCCACCATGTCAGAGGCCTCAAAGGAGCCTTGGGTTTCTTTGTGCATGAAGGAAGGCTTTGGAAGGAAGGTCACCTCTACAGCTGGAGGCCCTTTGCCTAGACCCAGATCCTGGGAAGGTGGACAACTTGGTCTTTCCTGACCCAAGCCACACACTTGGCCAGGGAGCCAGCCCTCAGTCCCTCACCATCCCTCCCTTGGAAGAGGCTGCAGAATGTCACTTGGTTCACAGCCATCCAAGGCACATTCTGGGATATCCTCATGTGGGGCTCTGAGTAGAGTTGACACCCAGTTCATGTGAGGATATAGGATGCTCTCTCTCGCTCTCTCTCTCTCTCTCTCTCTCTCTCTCTCTCTGTGTGTCTGTGTCCCCCCCCCCCCCCCAGCAAGATGGGTAGGGCATTCACCATCCTGCTCAGAGCCGGGACTCTGCAGGCTTAGTGCACAGTGGACCTGGGTCTCCCTTCCTCCTTGATGGAGACTCATGCCCTTGCTCTTAGGCTTCCAGAGGGGATCTTGATCAGATAACCCTATTCCCAGGAGCTCCCATTTGGTTGATGGCAGTAGGCCCGGTAGGCCAAACAGATCTGGGGCAGGTCTTTGTTCATCCCAGTGGACCTGGCAGACCCAGTTGAGGAGGCATTTTTGTTCAGACATTTGTCTACTTGCTTGGCAGGCATGCATGAGCACCCACCCATGCTAGGTGTGATCCTTACCTCCCAGCCCCCCAAAGCTCACTTTCTCAATGGTGGGCACACTGTTGTCATAGGGAAGCCTTCCCCGAGGAAAC